AATAAATTGTTCTGAGTTTGATGATCCTGGAATAATGTAGGCCAATTCGTCGCATTTGTGGCATACTTTTCACTGGTGTGTGTTGAGAGTTATATGTGTGGTGAACAGTATTGTTGGTATGGCTAGTTTGGATTTGCAGAAGTTTTTAGAAAATCCTTCGTTAGAACAATTAGATAGTTGTAAGAAGGATGAATTGTTGGCAATAGCAAGTCATTTTCAGATTGCAGTAGGTAAACAGTCTCGTAAGGGAGAGATTAAATCTGTTGTGTATAATCGACTAGTGGAAATGAATGTGCTCGGTTTGTCAGAAAAGGTGGATATAGCAGTGGGCAGTGCTATGGGAGCAATTGCTAGGAGTGAGAATGAGAGTGAGGAAGAACTGATGCCTGCGGCAGAGGTGGACGCCGATGTTAGGGCGAGGTTGCCTCAATTTGAACCATTCTCTCCTATGTCTACAGGCTCAAAAGAGGGAGCGAGACTGAAAGTCCGTTTGGCTCGTTTGCAGATGGAAGCGCAAGAGAAGGTGCAGATTCGGCAGGCGGAAATGGATTTGCGATTGCAAATTCGTAGACTTGAGATTGAGGCGGAGAAACAGATCAAAATGCGACAGCTGGAGCTCGATGCAATGAGAATTGTGGGAGGTTCAGCTGCTCAACCAGATCTCCCTCGAGTTACTACCGCTGCCACTATTATCCCTGCTCCTGTTGTTTCTTCTACTCCCACTGTTCCCTCTGCTCCATCTGTAGCAACCGGCTCATTCGATGTGAGTAAACACATTACGCTGGTGCCACTTTTTCGTGAGACCGAGATAGACTCCTATTTCAGTGCTTTCGAGCGCATCGCAACATCCCTTCATTGGCCGAAAGAGCTTTGGGCTCTTTTGTTGCAATGTCGTTTGGTGGGTAAAGCACTAGAGGTTTTTTCTACTCTTTCTGTAGAGGACAGTTTGAACTATGAAACCGTGAAGTTAGCAATATTACGTGCCTACGAATTAGTTCCAGAGGCATACCGACAAAAATTTAGAGGCCATAAAAAGAACTCTTGCCAGACATTTGTGGAATTCGCTAGGGAGAAGTCTCTGTTATTTGATAAATGGTGCAGTGCAACTAAAACCGGAGACTTTGACTCCCTAAGAGAATTAATTCTGCTTGAGGAGTTCAAAGGATGTCTGCCCGAACGTGTGGTGGTCTATTTAAATGAGCAGAAAGTTAATGCGTTGTCGCAGGCTGCTGTCCTAGCAGATGAGTTTGTACTCACTCATAAGGGGGTATTCTCCGTGACGCACACTGAAAAGAGCACGACTAGTGGTCCATCTCAAAGTCAGAGTGCTCGGATCAAATCTGTTACGTCGCAATTGAAGGAGGTAAGGGACTGTTTTTATTGCCATAAACACGGACACTTGATTGCTGATTGTCCTGTGCTTAGGCGTAAGCAACAGACTCAAAACCCTAAAAGTGTTGCATTGTTAAAGACTATGCCAATGTCTGAGCTGTCGGGTTGTACTGATGTCCTTGATGTAAGTTACAAGCCTTTTGTTATGACAGGGTTTGTTTCTTTGTCTGGTAAGGAAGAGGATCGGAGAGAAATTTCTATTCTCCGGGATACTGGGGCTATGCAGTCCATCATGGTGTCTGATATTTTGCCTTTCTCTGATGAATCGTATTGTGGCTCAAATATTTTGGTCCGTGGTATTGAAATGCAAGTAGTGCCGGTTCCTCTGCATCGTGTGCATTTAGACTCTACACTGGTGTCTGGATTTGTGAGAGTTGGAATTCGTAGATCACTTCCTATGAAAGGGATAACTTTTATTTTGGGAAATGATTTAGCTGGAGGCAAAGTGGTGCCAGCACCAGAGGTGACCGATGTTCCGAGTGATTGCTTAAATTCTAATGATGTTGCTAATTTCCATCCTGAGGTTTTTTCTGCTTGTGCAGTTACTCGCGCTCGGTCAGCTGAGGCTATGGAGCAAGTTGATTTGGCTGACTCATTGGTGGGGCATGCATTAGCAGATGATGGGAATATCCCTGAAATTAAGATGAATGATGTACGACGTTCTAATGTAAAAAGTTCAGAAGGTTTGCTAGAACGTTCTCATTCTTTGGACCTGCCTATCTCTCGTTCGCAGATTATTGCTGCCCAAAATAATGATCCATCTTTAAGAAAATGCTTCTCAGCTGTGATTAGCTCTGAGGCTGCTCAGAAAAGAGGCTCTGCATACTTTGTAGACGATGGTTTATTAATGAGAAGGTGGTGTTCTAAGGTCGAAGAGGATCTGGATTGGAACGTTATATATCAAGTGGTAGTTCCAAGCAGGTTTCGTTCTTATGTATTGTATCTAGCTCATGAACATTTACTTTCCGGCCATTTGGGGGTAACGAAAACTTACCATCGTATTCTCCAGCATTTTTTTTGGCCTGGGTTGAAACGAGATGTTGCAAAATTCTGTCGTACGTGTCATACCTGTCAAATGGCAGGTAAGCCAAATCAGGTCATCTCACCCGCTCCACTTTCTCCTATTCCGGTTATGGGAGAAGCGTTTGAAGAGGTACTGGTCGACTGTGTCGGACCGTTACCGAAAACAAAATCGGGTAATCAATATTTATGTACCATAATGTGTAGAGCGACACGATTTCCTGAAGCTGTCCCATTGCGTAACATAACGGCTCCTGTTATTTTGAAAACTTTGATTAAGTTCTTTTCCATCTTTGGACTTCCTAAAGTTATTCAAACCGATCAAGGTACAAATTTTTTGTCGCGAGTTTTTACTCAAACTTTGAAGTCGTTGTCCATAAAACACAGAGTTTCTAGTTCATATCACCCGGAAAGCCAAGGTGCGATCGAGAGGTTTCACCAAACCTTAAAGACCATGCTTCGAAAATATTGTATGGAAACGAATAAGGATTGGGATGAGGGAATCCCTTTAGTATTGTTTGCCGTACGTGAGAGCGTGCAAGAATCGCTTGGATTTAGTCCGGCCGAGATGGTTTTCGGACATGCTGTTCGGGGTCCGTTAAAGGTTCTGAAGGATAAAATGATGGAAAGTAACACAGAGAATAGAACGAATGTGTTAGACTATGTCAGTCGGTTTAGAGAGAAACTTCATAGTGCCTGTGACCTTGCTCGTAATTTTTTGAAAGATGCTCAGTCTGACATGAAGGTTCGATATGACAGGCAAGCAGTTGCACGAGTTTTTCAGTCTGGTGACAGAGTACTGGTATTATTACCTAATCCAGGTTCGTCACTGACCGCTCGATTTACTGGTCCATACAGCATAGTCCGGAAACTTAGTGATACGGATTATGTTTTATGTACTCCTGAAAGAAGGCGTAAAACTCGCGTTTGTCACATTAATATGCTTAAAGCATATCATGAACGTGAAAAAGATGAATGTGATCAACAAGTAACTGACAATGCAGCAATTCTGGTAACCTCTGAAGTT